TCAGTTGATGCTGCAGCAAAGGTGTGCTCTCAAAACTTCTTTTCAGGTTTATATTGAAACAGGCAGGAAGATCATATCATGGCCTTTTTTAGCACTTGCTGCCACTAGTGGTCTGTTAAATTTACTAATAGTTTTATCAGCTCTTTACTTTTTAGTACTATTTCTATATAACTACATTACTGTAGCACACTCTTTTCACGTATTGTTTTTGTATGTATAGTTCTCTATATCTTAGAATAGGTGCTGATTGATTTTTTGTCTTATAAATGAAATTGTGTTTTTCCTTTTATTTTTTTCAATAGTAACTTCACAAGAATTTTGAAGGTTAAATTCATTAATTCTTTGATGTGGACATAACAGGTACGCACTTTAGAAGTGTGCGGTGCATCAGTTGAGGAAGTTAAAAACTTTGAGTATACTTGTCTGGGAGAAGTGAGGATATTGGGTGCTCTGAAACACCCCTGCATAGTTGAAATGTATGGACATCAGATATCTTCCAAGTGGGTCCCTGCAGGGGAGGGAAATTTAGAGGGTCGTGTATTGCAGTCTGCTATTTTGATGGAGTTCATAAAAGGAGGATCTTTAAGGGTAATTCTCATAGCTGTTGAATGTTACCTCTATTTTACTTGATTGCTGTCAGTTTATCCTGATTTCTGTTGCCCACTTGTGACAGAGTCATATTGAGAAGCTAGCAAAAGCTGGTAAGAAGCATGTCCCTGTAGACTTGTCATTGTGCATTGCAAGGGATGTTGCATGTGCATTAGCAGAGCTGCATGCAAAGCATATTATTCATCGAGACATTAAAAGTGAAAATGTACTGATTGATTTGGATGAGAAGAGATCTGATGGGAGACCTATTGTCAAGCTTTGTGATTTTGATAGAGCTGTGCCTCTTAGGTCTTCTCTGCATACATGCTGCATTGCTCATGTTGGAATTCCTCCTCCCAATATATGTGTTGGAACACCTTGTTGGATGGCTCCAGAGGTTTTGCGGGCCATGCATAAACCCAACTTATATGGACTAGTAAGTTCATTCTCCTTTCACAGATAAATTTATTATTCAAACACTCGATTTCATGGCTCATTATTTGTTTGATATGGAATATATTTGATTTGTTTGTAAAACTAAGAATGGTGGAAAATGAAATAGGAGTTCTCAAAGATTATTCATCACTTTAGTGGATATGATTTGATAACTGATCAAGATTAAGAATACAATTTTGATTGTTTGGAACTGAGGACATGCATGAATGCAGTGGAATTGTACAGGATACTAGTATGACCATCATTAGAATTATGTTGCTTGTGCCAATGAGGCATTGGTCCAGTGGTTAAGGACATGTTGACACCCTGGGAAGTCCCTGTTTCAAACCTATATGAAAGAAAAAGAAAAAGGAAAGAATTATGCTACTTGCTAGTTTTATTTTTTGTTTTTCGTTGGGTTGGTGTGGGGCTGGGGAAGTTCAGGGGGTTTGTGAATGGAAGTAATAACATTTTGCCTGACCATCTCAATGTTGGATTGAAGCAATGTAATGTTCTAGTGTCTATCCTTTACCTTTCAGTTTTATTCCGGTATTCTTTTCAGAAAACCAACTTCAATAACATATTTACATGGATTGTTATTTCCCTTTCTGTCTGGTTCCAGGAAGTGGACATTTGGTCATATGGATGCCTGCTTTATGAATTGTTGACTCTACAAGTTCCAAATTGCGGACTGCCTGAAGTACAAATTCACGAACTTCTTCAGGTAATTTTAAGATGGTGAATTTGGTGATATAGTGAATGGTCTAGGAAAAAGTACTTGTTTTGTTTTTTGTTTTTAAATTTTGCCCTCAGGTTTGTGTGAATCAGTAATCTATACTTTGATGAACTATTTAATTTCTGCTAATTATTTACCTGAGATCTAAATTTCCTCTCTGAATTTAATTCTCTGCAGTCTGGAAAACGGCCACAATTAACAAAAGAGCTGGAGGCATTGCAATCTCTGAATGAGACCACCATGTCTCAGTCTGGTACAGAGCTTGAGGGATCAGAAGCTGAAGTAGAAGCAATTAGATTTCTTATAGATGTGTTCCGCCGCTGCACGGAGGAAAATCCATCTGACCGACCAACGGCAGAAGAGCTGTATAACATGTTGCTTGAACGCCAAGTGACTTCTGGAGTTCAAAGTTAGGAAAAACAAAGTCTGGTGCCATTAGGTAATAAAAAATAATCCCTTTTCTTTTCCCAAATTTTTGTAGCCCTAGCGAGGTTGTTGTTTGTATTTATAGAATTTAACATTTATTCACACCAATTTGGATAAAATATTTGGTTTTCTTAGGAATTAATATCCCTGACAATTAGTCACACTGATTAGGTTTAGCAGCCTCGCCGAGCCATGTCCCCCGGCGAATTATGTCATTTGTAATCTGAACAGAGATGTATAAATTCTGGAGGCACTTTGTTCTGATCCGTCTGTTGGAACTGTTGGGTTATATATTTTTTATTTAATTTTGAAAGTGCACTCCCCCTCCCCCCTGGCGGGTTCAAAAAAAAAAAAAAAAAAGAGTTTGACTGCTTCCAGAGGAATGAAGCTGAGTTTGCCTTTGCCTAGAGCCTAGGGAACTCACAGATTGCCGTGGCAATTTGTGTCACATTTTATTTTCTTGGAAAATAGTTGAAAAATTCAGAAAAATTGTGGAAAATAAAAAGAATCATTTAAAAGTTTAAAATCAATTAATTAACATAACTTAATAGAAGTCTAGAATTAACATAATTAAAATCATTTAATCGAAGTGAAGGAGAATTGAAGTTGTAGAAAACTGTGAATGATTGGTATTTAAGGTTTTTAATTTTTAACTTTTTGTTGATTTTTGAAAATCAACTAATGCTATTTGTTCTTTATTTATTAAAAATATTAAAAACCAAAATAGTGTGGTTTAATTTTTTTTTTTAAAAAAACCTAAGAACGTGGATAGACGGTGCCAACGCCAATATGGGCGGCATAAGACCGCTTGGCCCAGAAACGTTGCCCAAGTGAGCTTAGGCAGAACCTTTTGCAACATTGGAATTTATGGGGTACAATCTTAGAATTAATAAATCTTTGAGATACCAATGAATCTATTGGTTTGAGTGAAAAAAATTTGGTTCCTTTTAAATAAAGTGTCGGGTTTGATTTTTGTGAATAAAGAAACAGGTTAGGAGAGCTTGCCCCTCTTGATATCTGACATGATTTCAGATTAATCAAAATTTAATGTGGTTACTGAATACCGAGCGGTTAATAAAAAAATAGAAAATCTTTGAGATTGGTTCTATGTTGAGAAGGACTAAAAGATCATTAATAAATTTTGTGTGCGCAACCTTGATTCATTAATGACAATTTAATCAGTATACGATGCATGACAACAAAGATTTTCTTCTTGTAGCATCGGGTTTAGTTAAAAGCATGTCTCATCCTTATGTAAATGGTTATGCAACATCTCTCGCGTTTTCATGGGTGAACAAATCTAATTCAAATGTAACGTGATGCATGAGATCGTGCCCCTTGCCTTGGATGCAGATTTATAATGGATGCAGTTGCTTTTTTACACCAGCACTGCCTTTGTGATTTTGCCTTTTATGTGAGTATATAATGTTGGTGGTTGTAGGGGGTTTGAAGAGTGCAAATATAATGTTGCCTCCTAAGTATGCTTCAATGAATAGCAATGGACCACACAAGTAGTCCTACTCCCTACCCCACCACTGCTGCCCCTCAAAACTCTGGCAACTGAAAGCAACCAGAAACCCAAAGTTTTAAATGGTACACAATCCATTTAGGGTTCTTAGGGAACACGCATACCAAAGATTTTTAACAGTATGCTCTCTCTCCCAGCTTTAGTCTCTTTCTCCACTTTGTTGAAAATTCAAAGCAAAATAACTCCTAGCTTTTGATTCCCTCAAGAATTTGACCTTAATTAATTTGGAAAAAAGGGAACCTTACCCACTAATTACCAACTAATTCATTATAATCGTTTTAGGGATTTCATAGCTAGGGTTAGTTAAATCTTTTAATTGGATGCATTTTGGGGGCTGGTGCTAATGTGCTATTGCATTACATTGAATGAGGTTGTGCTCATAGAAACGGAAAAGCCGATAAACAGCAAAGCTTTTTTACAGCATTATAGAGGCCTAAAGAGGAAAACTGCCGGGGCCAAGCACGCCTTGGTGCAGCAAATTGGACCACACAGATGGGGTGGTAACGTAGAGAGAGCTAGCAACTGGGAAGGCAATTGCATCATCCTAGCATAGGCATTAGGCGGTGCCAGATTAAGGTTATACAGTTAGAGATTTGGTGGTCCAGAGATGCTTCGTACACTGAGGAGAATTAGATCCGTGAACACAGTTCCGGATGATATCATGCATACCCTTCAGCATCAGAATGAAAAATATTGTGGCCATTTTAGGGTTTCTACTCCAAGGTAAAGAACAAAAAGAAGGAAAAAGTTATGGGTACATATTCTCAAGGTCCCATGTGTTGCTCTAAAATTAAGAGATTTTAGATTCAAGTCGTATTTAATACGAGTGAAATGGATAAAAAAAAATTATTTTACATGTAAATTAAAAATAAAAAACTAATTAAAATGAGAGAAGATTCCTTTCCATGCTTTTTCTATCTAGTTTTTCAAAGAAGATTACTTTGGCAGGTAATTATGCATTGCGTCTTCAAAGGAGGAAGCGACAAGGGCATAATTACTATGCATGATAAACTTTCATTTTAATTATATTAGTCATTTGATTTTATTCATAACTACTCGAGATTCATTTGAACGCCCATGTGAAGATATAAAAATTGTTCTCAAAAGTAACATTAAGATGTGATTTATGCTCAAATAATTTTCAATGAAAAGATTCGGTTCAATATACTAAACTCCAACAAGAAGGGCTAACAAAAAGGGAAAACTTCTAAACTAATTGACTGCTAGTTTTGGACAACTTCATGTTCAAGATAAGGCCGCTCAGATGGATAAAGAACAAAGATTTACATCTCTAATCTATTTTGATTTTGTTTCTTAAAAAAATTCACAATTTGTTAATAAATCTTACATGATTTGATAATAGAGTTATTTGTATTTTTACTCATTATAGATTAAGGATTCAATTTCTAGTTATCACATATTTAAAAAAAAAAAAACCTTTTAATCCTCCCTAATTAAAGAGTAATATAAAATTTTTATTTTTATTTTTTAAATTAGGAACAGTCTAAGATCTTGAGATATCTCAATCTCAAGTGTTGCACCCACAAATCATTAATTGAAAAACAATGCACCGTCTTGATCGATTATTAAACTAA